AAAATGATTTTAAAAAGAGAAAGAAAGAATTAATCAATGGGTGATATACATCCATGTGTGAACAAACCAGTACCAATACACGCCACTCCCCACCCATGCCTCATGTGCACTCCTGGGGGTGCTTGTCCTGCAGCCTGCATTTCTAGAGGAACAGTCCATTGGTTCCCTGCCTTGTCATTGCCCAAAGTTGGAAGCGTTGTGAATGTCAAACAAAGGAATCATTACTCGTGCTATATGACCTTCCTGGTGCATATGCAGTCCTACACACACATAATCAGGTCCATGTGCATATGCTCAAATCCCTATGTGAAAAATAATGATGTCTGAGAAAGCATAACTGACCAATACACTTCCAAAACAACATATGTAACTTCTCTGAAAAATTCACTTACCTACAGAGACAACAAAGGAATCCACAACTTTTGAGGGAAGCCAAACTTAACCATTATTATTATTTTTATGAAGTCTGTGACGATTTGCTGTCAGACAACTATTTGATAATACTTCAAATGCAAGAGTCATCCTTTAAACAAATTTAATTGATAAGTATGTTGGTCTTTCAAACGTTTTTAGATGATCGCTTTTGCTTACCAGTCAACAAATAGAGCATTGATTGTGATACTCACTGGTTCACTGGCATCAGTCACATATGGACTGTATCATGATCATTACCAGAGGTGATTGAGTGAGTTCCTTTTTCTTGAGCTTGATTAATACAGTTATCCAGTGAAGACTTGTCTGATTATTCCTGGAATCAGAATGGGAAAAGTTGTTGTAGTGTAGTAATAATTTCTTTCATAAAAATCAATACCAAACTAGTCCCAAGGAGTTGGAGATTGAAAAAGTCCCAAACGTTCAACTCTTGCTCTTGCAATTTATTAGTCTGTTCCATTTCCCCCCACCCTCCCACCTTGAGTATATTCCTTCAAGTAGCCATTCCATTCCTCCCACATTCCCACCTTGAGTCTATTTCCTCAACTCTCCGAGTTCTGGTAACCACTTCAGTGTCCCACAGAACTCACAAAATTTCAAGACAATAGTGGGTACTATTCAGTCCAAAATCTGTAGGTCAGGCAGGGGAAGCCAGATGCTGAGACCAGAGGATGCACTCCACAGCTGGATTTTGCAGTTGATGAGATCACACCTCCTGTTTCTCAGTGAGCTCATTTTGTATGCAGCAGGATGGCAGTGCAGGGCATCATACTCACAGTTATTCACAGGTGAATCCTATTACTATCTCCCCACAACCTTCTTACCAAACATCTTTTGGTAGGAGTAACATAGTGCAATCAAATTTCATCCAAATGTAAAAATCTGTTTTCTACTTCTGGTGTGTATCTTATTTATGCATATCTGAACTGGGGCCTCTGACAAGATGCTTGTTGGAGGTACTGGCATCCTGCTAGTCTTAATCAGCCAGGGCAATCCAGAAACAGCTATCTTTCTGCTCTCAGGTGTGGCATATAATTCCTTATTGTTACATCCATTGTATGTAATAATTACAAAGATAGCCATTAAACAAAGAATGTGGCCAGATTCTTACCCTCTCTAAAGGTCAATCTCATCCCATTCCTGTTTGTTAGCAGATAATGCCCTCCAAAATGGTAGCACAGCTACAGGTTTGTGAAATTCAGAATCATTGTGTTTCACTTAGGCATTAAGGCTGGAAGTGCCATATTAATTGAGTAGAACTCCTGGA